TCCACACACACACACCCTTAAACACACACACACACACACACTCACACACACACACAGACACACACACACACACAAACACACACACACACACAAACAAAACCACCTACCATCATAGCCACAGTCCGGAAGAGAACTTTGAAGTTGTCCGGTAGCTCTGATATCCCAGCATACCCCGGGTTCATCATGATACACACAGACAAGACAGACAGACAAACACACACACACATACACACACTCACACACAAAACCCCCTACCATCATGGCGACCGTCCGGAAAAGAACTTTGAGGTTGTCCGGTAGCTCTGACCTCCCTGCATAGCCCGGGTTCATCGTTATACAGACGTAGCAGTTGGGATTCAGCTTCAGCTCGGTGCCCTCAAATATGAATGAGTCCACCTTGCCTTGCACCGCACGGATGATGCACAAGATCTGAGGAATACCACCAATGCGAAAAGGTTTCACACCTCAAACAACTTAATTTAAAGGATTTTTAAGAAACTAGGAAACAAACTTTGTTTAATTTTTTAAAACCCTGCCCACATGGAAATCAAAGTCATATCTTCTTCGTGCGACAGTGAAGCACCTAACTGCTACACCACTGTTACATGTGTGTAGTAGATGTGTTACCTGTGCATATCAGATGTGTTACCTGTGTGTAGTAGATGTGTTACCTGTGCATATCATATGTGTTACCTGTGTGTAGTAGATGTATTACCTGTGCATAGCAGATGTGTTACATGTGTGTAGTATATGTTTTAACTGTACCTATCACATTTGCTACCTCACCTATTTGCGGAACAAAAGTGTTCCTCACGTGTGCAGTAGATGTGTGATCCATATGTCGGTGATAAGTTACCTGTGTGTTTTAGCATGTACAACCTGTAAGTAACAGATGTGTTACCTGTTGAGCCACCACAGAGAGCACCTCTAGATCAATCCGATTAAATTCGTCGAAACAGGCCCATGCTCCTGACGAGGCCAGACCTTTGAAAAACTGGGGAAACAAGAGAGATAATAAAAATGATGGCTGATCAAATCACAGTCATAGTCTTATAATATTGGAAAATATAGAAGACAATGAAATAGTAACAGTGCTCAAATCACTTTCGATGTCGGAAAAAAATTGGCAAATACAAAAAAACAAAAGAAAATTGTTTGCGCTCAAATAACTTTCAATATCTAAAAAAAATAGACAGAGACGTCAATGCAAATTATTTATGCTCAAATCCTTATCAATATTTCAAACAAAAAGAAACCAAAGGTTGTTTACTGTCCTCAACAATCTGTTTCCTCACAATGCTTTCTATTTGCTTTAAAATCATAAACAGGTATGAAGACAGCAATACAAATATTTCAGAGCTTAACCACACAATTCCTTTAACAGACGTCAATCTGCCACAAGATAAAACACACTCCAGGTATTCAAGACTTGACTTTTTGAACAGATACACGTCTAAAATAACTCTCGTCACATCTCTTAAACGGGCAGCCAAAGACAAAACACTACAATAAGATTCACACTATCGGGATTAAAGCATCCTCAAAGATCCACAAGTAATTTCTTAGACGTTGCTACCAGCACAGGTAAAAACGTTTTCTTTCATTTTTCAGACAGAAGTTCTTATAGAACAATCTCCAACGTTTGTATACAAGATATTCCACTCCCTGAAAATAATATCAAACATGTTGCCACTGCCATTTTTCAGACTCTTTATTTACTATCTTTACAAACGACAAAAGTAAACCATCTTGTTTTGTACTATTTTTGATGTAAAATTACAGATGGGGGGGGGGGGGACCATTTGCAACACATTTTTGAAACCATTAATAAAATATCAGACAATGAGCTCTGACGTGTTTTTGAGTGTGTTAAAGAGTGTACCATTTGAAGCAATATAAGCAAAATGAAGGACAAAACGGGAAAGATGTCATGTGCACCTGACAATAGTGAGGCTGGGGTTTTACATTTCATTTGAGGAATGACACTGAAAAACTTCTTCTTTAACCGAGTCTTAGTTTTAGTGAGAGTTTTACGGCACTTGCAACACAATAAGGTCATACAAGTGCCGAAGATTAGAGGTGTCACAAGAGAGTAACAAACACAAAAAAGAAGGAGGAGAGATAAGGACAGTAGATGTTTGGTAGTAGGAAAGAAACGGCAAACCACACCAGAGCACTCGCCAACCACCCACATTCTAGACGTGATTCTTTGAACAGATGTTAGTCTTAAAACAAACTCCGACATATTTCTGGTTCACTATAGAGCATACCATCTGACTCAGTTTGATCCAAATACAAGGCAAGGGGAGAAAGATGGCATGCACACTCAACTATAGCAAGGCTGGTGTTTTACTCTTCATCGGTGGAACAAAGCTGACAAACTTCGGTGGAACAAAGCTGACAAACATCGGTGGAACAAAGCTGACAAACTTCGGTGGAACAAAGCTGACAAACATCGGTGGAACAAAGCTGACAAACTTCGGTGGAACAAAGCTGACAA